GTGTCTCCTTAATTCTAGTTAGTTGCAGACTTACATCCCATAAACGTAGTGCTACATCACTGTCTAATTTCTTTTTTGAAACATAAAGTTTACAGTCACGGTAAATGTTTCCACTTTCATTAGACAAAGAAGGTTCTATTGCACAGTGCAATACAGTTTGTGCACCCTACAGCAAAAATATAAGCATACATGTAGTAATATTTTTTTTATAAAAGATTGTAAACTGATATTCGTCAAAATATACATCATATCTTAAAATATTTACCTGATTTGCAGTACGTAAATATAACAGAGCTATAGGTGAAAAAATAATGTAATGGAACCAACTTCTTTTAACATTTTTAAATAATCCTGTGTAACTAAATCCAGGACAAACTATATACACATTAACGCCACTCTTTTCTATTCTTTTTGCAAGTTCAAAACCAAAATAAGTATTTGCTAATTTTGAGTTGCAATAAGCAGGATTCATGCGTTCTTTGACTACTAATCCTTTTTCACCATTCAGATTTGAAAAATCAATTACCCCAGATTCAAAAAGTTTAGATGACACAATAACAATCCTATTTCAAAAGAATTATGTTAATAAATAATAAATTGGTATTAGATATGGTAGATAAAGATATTCTGCTCTATGCCAAACCTGCTTGGTGCACTTTGTTTTAAATGTTCCAAAAGTAAATTTGTGAGCAAAAAATGACCTAAATGATTTACTCCAAAATGAATTTCAAATCCATCTTCAGTTAAAGCATGTTCTTTAAAAGGAACATATACTCCAGCATTATTAATTAGCACATGAACCTGTGCAAAATTTTGTATTACATCTGCAGCAAATTCTCTGATTGATGAAAATGATGCCAAATCTAATTTCATTGGCACCTAAAAACATAATAATATACTTTGTATGTATTATTGATATAAAGGACTTCATAAACAAAAATAAACTATTATAAATTAATATTTACTAATTTTCCAGTAGATGTTTGAGTGCGTATTTCAAATATAACATCTCGAGCACTTTGTAAATTTCTACAAGCTAAAATGACTGTAGCCTCTCTTTTTGCCAGTTCCTTCACTGTTTCTTTACCAATGCCTGAATTGGCCCCTGTCACAATACATACTCGACCTTCTAAACTGTCTGTATTTTTACATCTTCCCCAAGTATGTGCACGACATTTTCGAAGTAACCCAATAAGTAATACTACCGGTAAAATGAAATAACACCATGAAGATACCATATTTGTTCAGGAGCAACTATGTCATATGTATACTTTAAGTACTCGAATTAAGAAATGTTTGTACACAATCACTGGCCAAAATAAAAACACTTTAATACATTTTTATGTGCTATATGTTTATCTACTTTTTATAAATGAATGAATCATGGAATTTTAGAGATTTTTGCGTTTCATAAATTAACCCTGTTTATCACATACTTTGGTACGATATTTGTTTTTCATAAATTATATTTTGGTATGAAAGTAAAGTTTTTATTAGATATTCGTGCACTACCAATGAACTTCATTAGGTACTAACTAAATATTTTACTAAAATAATTATTTAAATTAAACCATAATATTGAGAAATTTGTTGTTCCGTTTGAAATGCATGAGTGAAAACCGTATAAGTACTGTATACCGTAAAGAAATATAGTAACTTCTTATCACTAATATGTGTATTTATTATCAAATTCGAGTTATTTGATTAAATTTTGCAATGGAAAATTTCAATATCTTCAATGACATTTTATTTTTTTATATGAAAATTCAAATGTAAAACAGTTTATTACATATAAATAAAAAAATTGTGTATATATCAGTGCTTATACAGATAATAATGTTTGTATAAGATTGGTATTGCATTATGTTTATTTTTAAAGAAAGGATAATTTATTACGGACATTAAAAAATATAAATACTTTCGGTTTTTATAATCTTACTATATGTATCAGTGATTTCTAGAATATTTATTACTTAGTGTGTTCTAATTATTAATGCATTTTAAGGAACGTAATACTATCTGAATAGTAATATATTCTATTTTATTCTCTATATCTGTAATAGAGAATAAGAATATTATATCCAAGTATAGTTATATATATTAAAATTATGTATGACACATACATGTATAATTTTATCTAAAACTGTAATTTATTTAATGCAAAATTGGTATACGGTCATACATATTGATTAAAAACAAGAAATAAAGAATAAAATTACTTTATCATCGTATTTAAATTAATATACATGCATATCTCATATGTAGTTTATTGATTGAATATATCAGTTGGCAATTCGTATTGTTCATATGCGAATGAAAATTTTTCATATTGATCAAAACAAGTGCAAAATTTATTACAATATAAATAATTTCAGTTTCTAGGTGTAGCAAAAATAATTGATATTTAACATGGGTAATTATTGTCTACCTTGTTGCAAAATGTCACCTTCATGTGAAAATTTAACACCAGATTTGGTAAGAATAGAAATTTTGAGGTTATTAGCATAAATATTAACATTTATGTGCAGATATATTTCTTGGATACACTGTCTTTTATTATTATTATTATTATTATTCTCCAACAAACTGTAACTTTGTAAATAGAGTTTCTTTATTTCAGTACCTTCTTTTTCTGTACATTATTTTTCCATCGTATGTTTCATTTTTTGTTATTACAATCGGTATCACAACAAATTTGTTTCTTCTTTAGATTACATTATACAAATTTATATAATATTAAAAAAGGTACTTTTGTATTTAGACTGTTATTTCCTAATACAGAGAAATGGG